TGTAATAGATTCTAAAAAGAAATTTACAGTGTTGTATTGAAGTAGCCATACATCTACCTGTATGATTTGTTCATTGATACACTTTTTCTCCACATTAGAGTTGCCATGAAGGCAGAGCCTTGTTGTTGCTGTTGTTTTTCTAGAAAAGCTTTGGGTGTGACACTTAAACACATGGTTTTTTTTTTCTGTGTTCCTATACCATCTCTTCTAATTATTAGTGTGTAATCTGGGAGGCATAATTCAAATATGTCCTTCCTTCATTTTATTTATAACTTGAATATCAGTATCAGCACTGTCTTTTGCAAATACTCCATAGAGTATTCAAACAACAAATAATAAACACTGAGGTATATGTTCACTGCACTTTCTGCATAAGAATTACTGTCAAATTTTTAATCATTAGAGTCACAAGCACACTTCCAAATTCTAAAGAATATTTATCAAATGAAAGCATGACTGTCAGCTGTGGGACAATGGTCTTCTACCCTGTAAAGATTTGTTTCTTGTATTGTTTAATAAAATGCTGATTGGCCAGTAGCCAGGCAGGAAGTATAGGTGGAGCAACCAGAGTAGGAGGATGCTGAGAAGAGGAAAGATTGAGTCTGTTCTCATCACCTAGATACAGAGGAAGCAAGATCTGAATGCCTTGCTGATAAAAGGTACCAAGCCACATGGCTGACACAGACAAGAATTATGGGTTAATGTTGGATGTAAGAGTTAATGAGAAGCCTGAGCTAACAGGCCCACCAGTTTATAACTAATGTAGACAACTGTGTTTTCTTGGTGACTGAACAACTATGGGCCCGGGTGGGACAGAAACTGAGTGGAGAGTGAGCTTCAGAGGTTATGTGATTCTCTAATTGCCAGAGCACTCTGAATTTAGGCTTTCTTCATTAAATATGCATGTATCCAAGGGCCAAAGAGATGATTCAAGGCTGAAGAGTACTTGCCACCAAGCTTGAATTTGATCCCAATGCTCTCTTGGTGGAAGGAGAGGTCAGATCCCTGAATGTTATCCTCTGATTTTCATATATTCCCTGTACTGAATGCATGCCTAAGCTCTACTCCCCGCTTGTTTGCACATACACCGTGTTATTCATGTGGAGATGTGTGTCTTAGTTAGGGTTTTTATTACTGTGATGAAACACCATGACCAAAGAACCTTGGGGAAGGAAGGGTTTTACTCTTCCACATCATTGTTCATCATCCAAGAAAGTCAGGGCAGGAACTCAATCATGGCAGGAACCTGGAGGCAGGAGCTGATACAGAAGCTATGGAGGAGTTCTGTTTACTGACTTGTTCTCCACGACTTACTCAGTTTGCTTTCTTATAGAACCCAGGATCAACATACCCAAAAGTGAACATATACACAGTAGACTGGGTACTCCCTTACCAATCAGTAATTAAATGAATGTCATACAGACTTGCCTACAGCCCTGTTTAATGGAAGCATCTCCTCAACTGAGACTCACCTCTCCTTCAACTCTAGTTTGCATCAAGTTGACATAAAACTATCCTGTACAACTGATCCCTTGTCAACTTGACAGGTTACTATTAAGCCACAACCTTTTCTTTGTTACTCATCTCCAAGATCTTACATTAATACAAAAATCACAATACAAAATATTTTAGTAATGTAAAAGTTCAACAGTCTTTAAAATCTCAAATACTTAAAAGTTCAAACTCTGTTCAGCATATACAAACTTCCAGGGCAGGATACCCTGCCCTCTCTTAGGACTGGAGGGTGCGGGGGGAGGGTGAATGGGGGAGCAGGAGGGAAGTGGGAGGAGGGGAGCAAGTGGAAATTTTGATTTCTATTATTTATAAAGTAATAAAAATTATCAGAGAAAAAAAACAAAGTATTTTTAAAACTGCAAAATCTCTTCAAAAGTTTAAAGACTCTCAACTGTGGGCTCTTGTAAAATAAAAATTAAATTAAGTACATTCTTACTTCAAGAGGGAAGAACCAGGGCGCAGTCATAAACAAATCAAATAAAACCAAATCCAAACCAAAGCCCTGCTGTGTAAATGTCACAATTTCCTGTTCCTGGTGTCCACTCACAATCTTCAGATATCCTGCAAAGGACTTAGGCCCTTCTCTAGCTAGGCAGAAGTCACACAGAAGACACAGTTTGACTTCTAATCCTGGGCAGGTCCCAGTCAACTGCATCTTCTGTTCTTAGTGATGGTCCCATGGTACTCGTGTTGTCAAACTGCTGGGATCTTCTGCTACACCTGGTCTGCATTTTCACCAATAGCCTCTCCTGGACTCTCTTTATGGTGTAAGACCTCAACTTCTCTCATCAATTTTCCTGGTAAAGCAAAGGTTTTTCTGGTCTCTTGTTAATTATAGCTGATGCTTTAGCTCAAGCTGACCAGATCCACAGATTATTCAGGTAAATGGCCTGGTAGAATCTTTGCTCCCCTCTGAAACTTCACAAACAAGGCTTCTTTTGTCTGCACTGCTCTGGTCATTTCTTAAAATTCAAAATGGATTCTTCTCTCATACAAAATATTTAACCACAATTTCCTCTACCTCCCCTCTCCCCCAGATCCATTCCCCATCCATTTCCTCTTTAGAAAAAAAACAGACGTCTGAGAGATGGCAATCAAACATTTCAAAGCAGTATGCAGTAAGACAAGGCAAAATCCCTCCTATTGAGGCTGCCCAAGGCCACTGAATGGGAAGAAAATAGTTCCATAGTAAGCAAAGAAGTCAGAGACACACCTGCTGTCACTGTTAAAAGTACGATAAAAACACCAAGTTAACAATCATAGCATATGCAGAGGACTTAGTCTACATGAGTCTGTACGCTTTGTGCTTGCTACTTCAGTCTCTGTGAGTCAATATGAGCCCTGATGTGGGCTGATTTAGTGGGTCATGTTCACGTGGTATCCTCTATCCTTTTACCTCGTGCAATTTTCTTCCCCCTTTTCTGTGGGGTTACCTCATCTTAAAGAGGAGGGACTCAAAAGAGACCCATCCTCATCTATCCGCTGTCAGAAAAGGCCTCTCTGATGACAAGTGGACAAGGCCTTGATCTACAAATATAGCAGACTATCTTAAAAATAATTGTATGTATGCATGTATTTATGTATGCATGTATGTATTTTGCCAATCATGGTTGGTTCTATCCTAGGTCTCTGGGCTACCCAGTCTTTCATTCCTGATCATCCAGGTAGTGCAGGGCATGGGCCTCCTTTTGAGGAGTTGACCTCTAATTAAACCAGATATTGGTTGGTCACTCCCAAAATTCTTCACCACCGTTGACCCAGACCATCTTGTAGACATGGAAGATTTTAGGTCAAAGGCTTTGTAGCTGGGTTGGTGTCCAGGTTTCTCTTTTAGTAGCCTACAGAGTAACTTCCCATATGTTGAGGAGACTAGAACTTATGTGTGAAGACTCTATGCAGGCACCAGCTTGACCTCTCTATATCAAATGAGTTGTGAGGATGCTGTCCTCAGCAACATGGTCCTGATGTCAGATTTTGGAGAGCAAAATTCTGTCCTAGCACCAGTCCAGGTTTCTTAGAGATCTCCACCGAACCTCCTCAGCCAACATCTCAACTGACTGCCACACAGTCCCACAGTGGAAGCCTTGCCTGGCTACAAAGATGGCCAGCTCATATCTTCCATTACTAGGAATCCTCACTAGGGTCACTTGAATAGATTTCAAGAAGTTTCCACTTCACTAGATTTCCACACTACCTCCCAAATGTCCCACAATTCCATCTATCTCTCCCTGCACCCTCTCCCTCCACCCCCACCTGATCTCTTCTGCTCTTGTCCCCACCTCTCCTCAGTCCAAGTTCATACAGAATAGCCCACTGAACTCTTAACACTAAGTGGCTTTTCTAGCCTGAAGTTTCAAAGTCCTTCCACAGTCCTTCCCAAAACAACATGGTCAGGACTGTCACAAAAATACCAATTTCTGTCTTACTTCAAGTTGCTAATGCTGTGATAAAACACCATGAGAAAAGCAACTGGGGGAGGAAAGGGCTTATTCAAGTTATGTTTTTATAGCATTGTCCATCACTAAAGGAATTTAGGACAAGAACTCAACAGGGCAGGGACCTGGAGGCAGAAAATAATGCAGAGGCCGTGAAGGGGGAGCTGCTTATTGGCTGCTTCCATGACTTGTTCTGCCTCCCTTCTTATAGACCCCAGGACCACCATCTCATGGATAGCACCACTCACAATGGACTGGGCCCGACCACATCAATCACTAATTAAGAAAATGTCCTACAGCCCGGGCTTAGGGAAATGTTCTCAGTTGAGGCTCCCTCCTCTCCAGTGACTCTAGCTTGGGAGACGCTGATATAAAACTATCCAGGACAATTCATATCTCAGAAGATATCCTTATCACTAAATGGCATGTCATCTTCTGCTTACCACATTGACCTGCAAGTTACTCTACAGCTTCCCTGACTTAAGCCACAAACGCAGGTCACAAATTGTTATTTCAGAAATAGGCAGAGAGTAGCAGGGTACAGAAAAGAGAAACTCAAACATGAAATGTGGTTTTTGCCGACAGTCAAAGCCTCTGTTTGTTTGTTTCATGGCAGTATGTGTTCCTTACTCTTTCTGTTGATCATTCCCACTATGTTAGGCTTTGGAGTTAATTCTTAGGAAACACGTGAGTATTATCTGTGAAGCTTGCGGTAATCATTCCTCATTTGGTGGCTGCATTGAGCACCAAATTGTCCCCATTTGCCATATGTAGCCACCGTCAATTAAATGTAAACAACAATGATAAATATGAATAGCACTTTTGAAAGTCTAAGTCCCAACATCATGGATACAACTTTTTAAATGCTTCAAGTAACATAAAATATTTCTGGGGAATCATTGAAGAAACTATAATATTTCAAAGGAACCATCAGGTTCTTTTCGGCAATGGCAGACCAGTGTTTGTTCTTCCACTCCACTTGCACAAGGTGAAATACATTATCAGCTTTGTAACAAATTTTTATTGGAGAAAAATAGGTTACTTTTCAGCACTTTTTTATTTTTCAATACTTGACCACTAATATTATGTGACACAGTCCAGATGAATACATAGCTTGGGAATATAGACCTTGTAACAGTACAGTCCCCTATGTAAACAAGCATCATGGCCATTACTCTGCCAGCTCTCCCTACTCTAGTATGTCAATTGTTATTCTCACCTCTGGTGCAGTTAGTGCTAATTGCATTACCTGAGCTATAAAAATAAAAGATTCCCTTGTAGCAAATTCACAGATTTAATTTCAGTCCAGCTGGACACCTTGTCCATCTACAGCAGCAAACGTCTGCTCCACGAAAAACAAAACAACAGTAAAGAAAACAGGAGGGAGCTTGGAATTTGGTGTGTTTTACAAAACAGCATGTCTGATTAGCTGCTCAAAGACAAAAACAATGTCAGCCGCTGGTATTTTCAGCATTCAGATATTTGAAATTGTAAAGAAAATCTTTATCCAGATGAATGACTGACACCATCCTCTTCTGGGCATGTCCTATTCAGCAGACACGATCAGTGCTCATTCAGGACTCACAGGTCTTAGGCACTAGCTCAATCAACATAGTTTATGTACATACAAAGAAAGACAAAGTTCAAAAAGTTTTCTAATTTACAAATGAATTCATTATGTTTGATTCACACTTTAAATTGAATTATTATAATATAAAATTGAGAAAATTGTTCTTAGTTGTGGACAGACATATTAAATATAGTATTCCATTATAAAATAGAGGGGCGTCCTCAGCAGTGATTTAATGCACAGCTGTGAAATCTAAAGTAGTATTTTTTCACTTAACCTTGCAGATATTTAACAGAATCACACCATGTTTTGTCAATATATTAGACAATACTTTTTCCACGTGAGAACAGCCAGTGTTTAAATAGTCATATTCAAAACAATGTCTAGCATAACATTGATAGTTCAGAAGATGGGCATGGTAGTGAAAATAGTTTAAACATCTCTGGTCTAGTCTCAAAGCGAGGAAAGGGCAAAGAGAGACAAAACACATTAAAGAATAACCACAAACCATACTAAAAGCATCCCTATCAAGTTGTTAAAAGAGCTTTCACAGTGTTTCTTAAAAATGGTTCCAAAAATCCCTCATGTTCTTAAGGTGTTTCTTTCAAATATGACAGATAGACTGAGACAACTTGTGGGTATAAGTGACCACACACATTTTCAGAGGAAGTTTTACCATTTGACTCAAACTCATCTTATCATTCCAAGAGTTAAGAAAAGCAAACTGATTATATTATCACATTCTAGAACAGGAAGTCAAAGCAAATTAGATCTACAACTGGAAAACAAGGTTGCTCAAACTTGTTACTCCTCCAAGGAGTCAGGGATTTCACATCCTGCGTGCTAGCAGAAAACCTGACTAACATCCCCCAGAGATGCGGCGCGACATTAGTGCCCTAGGCAGGAGATGAAAAGTAATCCTAAATTAAACCCAAATCAATTTTCTTTTCATTACTATAGTGTTGAGTGGCTGAAACCCCAGCACTTGAGAGGTGGAGGCAGTAAGGATACTTACTGTGTAGTAAGTGAGTCTAACTTGACACATAGGAGATTTTGCTTAAAAAGAAAAAGAAACAGAAAACTATAAGCCCATTATTCAATAAAATCTAATATTTTGTGAAACTGAGGTGGAGTGGGCTGGAACAAGTGAGACAGTGAGTAGAAATGTGGCCTCCTGATTGTATATTCATCTTGGTCAGTTCATCTAAAGATTCATGGGCCACTTGTAGAATTATGTATTTTTGTTTTTAAAAGAGTAAAAATATTGATAAAATCTACAACACTACTCTGCATTAATTAATGTATGGTCATGTTCCTTTCTCTGCTAATGATTTTATGTTTTTTTCTGAACTTTCAAAATGTGTTTATTCAATAAGAGTGAATGTACTCAGTCAGTGTGGACTCCCTGACTTCATCTGTTGGTTCAATTTTATCTGCCAAGTGGGGTCTTGAGTAGATTATTATTCATATATCCATTTCCTTGATTATGAGTTATGCTCTAATTATGATGAGCCTGACTTTTCCAATCAGTAATATTCTCATGGAATCCTATCTTCAAGCAAAAACCCCATTGCTTTTCTAAAATGATTCCATCATATTTTTTATTAATCAAATGTCCATTCTAAAATGTTTTTGGACAACTTGCCTGTTACTATTTTAGAATTTTCTTCCCACCTTACATTTTATTTAACATGAGAAAAAATAATACTGGTCCTTCAGACACCTTGATTCACATCTTGAAACAATATCAGCATATATGCATAAAGAATGCCTTAAATTTAAAAAATAATATTAAAGATATCTATAACTCATTCTACAAAAACAGAAAAAACAAAACTCTGTATGTATAACATATTAAATCTAACTAATGAATTCTAGTAACTAACTTATCATTTACAGAATTAACTGAGCATAATTATATCAAATGGTTATTAAGTCAATGTAATGAGTCAAGCAATAAATATGTAAAATAATGTATTCTTATCTGCAAATTCCAACTTTGGAGGAATGACACCAGGCAGCCACTGTGGACCAAAACCTTCACATATGTGCAATTTGTACTTAAATTTGAGCATCCTAGAGCTGATGTTAGCCACCAGACCTCAGAGGCACTGCATAACCACACAAAGACCAAGAAATGTTCAAGTTGTGGTTTAGCTCCAAAGGGATCAGTTTAGATGGGGTAATTTAAGGGAGGACAGTTAGATATGTATAAGTGAGGAAATCCTTTCCATTCGATTATTGCTAAAGTTCACAATTGGCCTGGTAACTTTTGGAAATTGTGTAGTCCACTTTATAAAGTTACTTAAAATTTTGAAAACATGTTGCATGCTTTAGAAACATGGTGTTTCCATCAAGCCTGTACTCTAGAAACATAAGATGGCAGGAAAGCAAAGCTCCTGACTCCGTGCCTCCTGTTTTACAGTAATTTTTCTTCTCTAGCTGGAGTACCACCAAAACCAGCTGGTTGTTTCTCTGGGTCTGTCTTCTCCTCACATTCAGGACAAGGAGGCATTTGCAATTTCTGCCAAACAATACAGAAAAGACAATTAGGAGAATACAAAATGGCATATGTAAGGCAAACATTCAGAATTGCAGTAGGACAGCAACGGATAACCAAATAGCAGCTAGACCCCAAGGATAGCCACAAACTAAACAAGCAGTAGTCCAACAGTTTGAACAAGTAGCAGCTAGATTACAAGGATAGCCACAAACAAAACAAATACTCAGATTTTTACCACATGCAAATACTGGGTTTGCAACTGGTACAGTTCTTCAAAAGTTATCATGAGAAAATTGGTCAAACCACCCAATGTAAAGTCAGCTCACTCTAAAAAATTCCTGAACATTGATATTATATTTTCAGAATTAAGCTTTACAGGTAAACTTTCTAATTATTTTTGAGGAATTTGACTACTTTTTACACCTACTCCACTTTGCAATCATCTTTAATAGCTTTCTTCTCATAAGAATTATAGGCACTTGTTAAAAATTCTCTGTTTAATTTCCTTTACTTTCTTGGTTGACAGCTTAGAGGAGGAGGAAGGGATCTGTCCTTTATCTGTGCAGGGCCTCATGTAGGTACACTTCAATGTTTACTGGTAGGCAGAGCAGACAAGCAAGGTTCAAGGGTTCAGCTGAACAAACTAGACACATTCTTTTAGACAATCTATAAGGTATCCATATTTTTTAAAGTGGCTCATAGGTAAACATGCTTGCTACCAAGCTTGATGAGGTGAGTTTAATGCCTGAAACTCACATGATGAAAAGATAAAGGAGAAACCCTCATATTAGTCTTTGGCCTCCACATAAGAACCATGGCACCCTCCTCACCCCATACATGCAAAATAAATTAATGTTAAACAAAATAAAGAAGAACTTCCCTGCAATCCAGAGGGGACTGGAAGGACTTTCTGGATGTAATGAAAATCAAGCAGACTGACAAGGTTAATACCTGTGTTGCAGGCTCTGATTCTGCAGTGAGGTTTCTTTGGGGACCCTCCTCATGCTTCACCAAACAGGGACTACCCTCCTATAGAGCAATTAAAACAGGTCAGATTACTTAAATTAAACAAAGAAAGTGACAGAGAATCCATTGTGGTTTACTCCCATTCCAAGGTTTCTATCAATTCAATGCATACTAAAAACTAAAGGCAAAATTCTCTCAACCAGATGGGTTCTCAAGAGCTGGCAAGTGTCCAGTCACCTGGACCTCACAGGAGCTCCTTTCTCTCTACCACTGGCTACTAATAAGCTAGGTTCTAAGGAAAAATTTCTACTCTGCACAATAGCCAAAAGAAGAAAAAGATTAAAGAAATGTGATATCTATGATGTATTTGGACTCTCACACTTAAATTACTCATCAGTGGTGAGTGTGCCTGCAGGGGCATCAGTATTCATGGGGCTAGAGAGATTCCTCAGCAGATAAGGGCGCTATCTGCTCTTTCAGGAAACCAGTGTTCAATTTCAAGCACCCATGTTAGGGAAACTGATACCCACTTACTACACTTGCTCCAGGAAATCCAATGACTTCTCCTAACCTTTGCCAACGTGTGCACAGAAGTCTCTCTCTTTCTCTCACTCATTCTCTCTCTCTCTCTCTCTCTCTCTCTCTCTCTCTCTCTCCCTCTCCCTCTATCTCTATCTCTCTCTTTTTCTTACACACACATACACACACACATGCACACACACTCTCTCTCTCCCTCTCCCTCTATCTCTCTCTCTCTCTCTCTCTCTCTCTCTCTCTCTCACACACACACACACACACACACCGTTTCTTGCTTCCTCCCTCTCTCACACACCCAATCCCCCACTCACACACATACATACAAAAACACATGCATGCATGCAGACGTCCATGCACACACACTCACAAACATGCATACACAAATACACCCACTTGAACACACAAATAAAAATAAAAATCTTTAAATATGGTAATACAGGAACGAATTTCAATTATGTTATTAAAATGTCTGGTAAAATACCTTGTATGTTTTATAAAGGTAATATTTCCATAACTAAAATATTCCTATATTTTATAAAGCAAAAGAATCAGGCATTCCCTTTTAGCCCTATGGGATGTGAGCAAAGAAAGCTGTTGTCAATGGAAACAGCTCCAGTCAGCTTTTATTCTGTCTTAAAGAATGCTAAAACACTGACTGCTTCCCTCCTTTCCCCTCTTCCTCTCTTTGTCTACTTGCTCTTTCCTCTTCTCCTTTTTCTCATATTCTAAACCGATGTTAAGGTGGAGTACGCTAGTGTTCCACATGTTGACTTCCTGTAGTCTTTTCCATGCATAAAACAGAGACTAAGCTGCTACATCCACCGCTGTCACGTCAGTGTAGCAGAAATGCTGACTGGACGGACTATTGCCGTAGGATTGGGGTCTGTGCTCCATGGAGTTAATTGCCCCAGACTGTCCCTTGGCAATCAGCTGTGGTTATGATGCCACCTGAAGTTGCTATCTGCACTGACTCGACCCCTCTGCTTTTGGCACCGATATGTCTGTCTTTTTCTTGTCTTTCTGTGATTCTTGCATATTACCAACAGATCAGACTATTCCAGGCAGTTACGGATACAAACAAGACTGCTGAGGACATTTTGAGCTCTGCCCCACCATTCATTAAAGCCTTAAAAGAAATAGCCAGTTCTGGAAATTGGGAGGTCATCGTTATAATAATTCCTTAATGATGTGGAGCAAAAGGGGTGGCTCTTATCAGGAGAAACCTTAGAGGCCTTCTGTAGGAAAACAGCTGCAGCAACCCCCACTAGACATTTTCCTGAAGGATACGTGCAGTTTAACAGGAGACCTATGAAGCCTTCCTTATGGCCAGAAAAAAAACCTAGGCTGATTACAACATCTGACCCTGAGAGTCAGAGAGGGAGGAGAGTTGAGATTAATGGTATGAGATGAGTTTCAGACAAGTTTGAGATCATGTCTTTAAAAATTTCCTAGCAGAAAGTTTTCTCAGGAAGATAGTGGTCTTCTCCTCTCACACCCCAAGATCACAAGGTCACTTAGCCCAGCCAGCCGCCTGGTACAAACTGAGCAAAAGTCCTTGTACCCAAGTCAAAGCATTTTCAAAGATTCTCTTTGTAAACTGTTTTATGCTGTTCTTTTTTTTATGATCTGATGATGTATGCCTTTGCCAAGTTCTTTGTTTGTAAAAATATAAAAGCCTTACACTAATTGAAGTAAAGTTACAGCAGCATATTCATTCACATTGAGTCTGTCTGTCTGTCATTTCCTTCACCGATTCCTGAATCCTCCTGAGCCTTCGCCCTGATTCTCCCATAGTCTGAGTGGCTCCCCTGAGCCGGTCCGTGACACTAAGCCAGTGGACATCTCTTGATATTCAATAAACAGTTTCTTTCCTAGAGGAAAAACATGGGTCAGGGACCCATTTAATTTCATTCTGTCATTTAAAATACTCTTGAGTAGATGATGCCACAGAAACTGTAAAAGTCATGTGTAGTAGAAGGCTGCTTGTTTGTTACCAAAATAACTATTCAGAAACTATATTATTTGCAATACTGTTAGACTAATAGCTTAAGCATGTTTCTGGCTAACTCTTATATCCCAAACTAACCAATCTCCATTAATCTGTGTATCGCCACATGGTTGTGGTTTACTGGAAAAGTTTCAGCATGTCTGTCTCTGGTGGTGGCTGCATGGCTTCTCCTTGATTCTGCCTTCTTTCTCCTAGCATTCACTTTCCTCACCTACCTATATTCTGCCCTGCTCAGGCCTAAGACAGTTTCTTTATTAACCAATGGTTTTCACAATATACAGAGGGGAATCTCACATTAGTGATGGAGATTCAGGCAGTTCAGCCTATAAAACTACATGATTTTTACATGATTTACATTTGAACCTCACACAGCTTCATATTAATTTATTTGTCTTCATTTCTTTGTGTCCCCTACCTCCATAAAGATCCCTTTTCATGTGGTTTGAAATCTACTGTCATTCCCTCCTCCTTGACTCACTCTAGCAGCATCCAGGATCAGTTCCATCCCTGTGCATACCAACTATAGTGCTTCAGATTGCTTTTATATGTATGAGAACAGCCAGCCCATAAGTTCTTGATGTGATCCTTTGATCTAATGCCTACCAAAAAACAAACGGGTAAACCCACAGATCATGAAATACATATCAATCTTTTAAAATGTTCACATTCCTGCTTTCTCTGCATGACCATATATGGTCATGTTTTATAGAAGTTTCAATATTTTATTGAATATTTTTATCAATATAAGCCTAATGGAAAAGTGATGTGAAATAATAGTGGAAACCATAGTAAAAATATTAGCTATGCTGTGGGATAACCCTTCTGTACACTCTGAATATGTATTCTTCTCATTGGTTAATAAAGAGGCTGCTTTGCCCTATTGCGAGGCAGAATAAGGTCAGGTGGAGAAGTCAATCTGAAAATCTAGAGAGGATAAGGGCAATTGTGGGGAGACCCTAGCCAGCTGCCCAAGAAGCATGATGCCAACAGATATGCATAACACTACATCTACTTGGCAATACATAGAATAATAGAAATGGATAAATTTAAATGTAAGAGCTAGTTAGTTATAAGCCTGAACTATAGGCCAAACAGTTTGTAGTTAGAATTAAGCCTTCAAGTGATTATTTAAAAGTGGGACAGGGAAGACAGAGAAATCTCCATTTACAAGCTACAGTACTGTATAGAGAAACATTCTACAGCACCCAAGGAAAGAAATGCAACATATTGTCAATAAAGGAAAGATTGATTATTGATTACTTGGATAACTTGCCATTTTCTTTTCAAACATTGAGGTAAGAACTGACCTTGAGTGATGGTGAGAGTAGGTATGGGGAAGAATTTCTAGGATAAAGGGGAAGAAAATTAATGGAGCTGCACCATGGGTGATGAACTGGTAAGGATGCAGTAAGATGGGAACTCAAGAGGACAGGAGAAAGAGTGAGTTGTGGGGGAACTCACAGGTCAAACAGTAACATTTATGAGGAATCTGGTCCTTACTAAGAGAAAATTCCATTCTATAATCTTTGCTCCTCCGTGCTTCTGTTTCTAATGACACCTCACAGACAGAAGCATTCTCTGTGTGGAAAACATCTGATTTATAAACTGCATTTGATAAAACTTATCCCATGGAACGGGTTCTCAGTTATACAGTCATTATGATCTTCTTTCTTCAGTGGGAGTCTGCCATCTGTGTCAGTTCCATAGGCAACTTGTCATGACTCAGGATCATGTATATGAAGTTGCTTTGTTTTTATTTTCTTTTGCATTGTTTTATGATTCTTGCTGGTGTTCATGCACAGATTTTCTTTTTTATCATGACTATTTACATATTGAAGCAGAGTAAATATCTGTCACACTGATAGAATCTGTGTATCATATTCCAACACAATTTGGAGTTATTGCTGGTATTATGTTTCCTGTAATTCTTCATGAGACTAGCTCGAATGGATTACAAATCTTCAAAATTTAAAAATGTTGTTTCATACGGTGGTTGTGGAACATACTTTTAATACCAGCCCCAGAGAGGCAGAGGCAGGCAGATATTTCTGAGTTTGAGGCCAGCCTGGTCTACAAGAGCTAGTTCCAGGTTCCGGGGCAGCCAGGGCTACACTGCTAAACCTTGTTTCGACAAAAAAGATGTTTTATTTTCAGTAAGCATTCAATTAGTATATATGTGAGTATATATGTGTATATGTAATTGTTTATTTGTGTCCCCTATGTGCATTTATGTGCTTCAAAATATATGTGCACATGTGTATATGTGTGCCTAGAACATGGTTATCACTTTCATTGCTGCTGTAATGATGGAAGTTCCTTGGATAAAGGCTTTAATTAACTGCCTTGTCTTAACAATACTTATGTGTAAAACTGATTCTCCTTTAGGTGATAAGTACTAACAGCCTAACCAAAAAAATGCAAAAAGGGTAGAAGTAGAGCTACTACCAAATGTTCGAAGGGATACCACAAGAGATGAAGGGCAAAGAGCAAGTTGTAGGAGAGGGAAGTGAGATTTGAG